TTAAAGTCCTATGTAGAAAATATGGAAAATAACTACATTGTTGTAATAAAAATATGATATACAGTCAGCCCTCTCTCTTGGTGAGTTTTGCATCCATGTATTCAACCAACTGCAAGCCACAAATACTCAGAAAAAAAGATTCCACTAAGTTCCAAAAAAGCAAAACTTGAATTTGCTGTGCTCTGAGCACTACATTGAATGTACATGAAGTGATTTATAGACATTGTATTAGATATTATAAGTAATCTAGAGATGATTTAAAATATAGGGGAAGATGTGTGTAGGTAACAGGCAAATAGTATGCCATTTTATATAAGGGAGGTGCTTCCATGGAATATGGTATCTGCAGGGGTTCCTGGAACTGAGGCCCCATTGAAACTGAGGTATGACTGTACTAAGAACCTAATCAGTTTCCTTAGAAGCATTGTGAATTAAAGAAGACTCTGACCAGACCAAATCTGATCCTCTTTCTCAGTATTTGGATATATCAGTTTGTCACAGCTAAGTTGTTGAACAAGATCTTAAATACACTATTTGAAAACAAGAATTGGTATTTTTTTGCCCTGTAGCAATTACAGAATCATAGCTAATGCATAGCTGTGTCCAGTGTGTAGCATATACTTGTTGTCACAGTGTGTATTTGAATGAATGAATAAATTAACAATGCTGGGTTTCTGGTAAACTATGGGTTAAGGAATTATTTGTGTCCTAGATTTTTGAAAGTTATTTCCTTTAAGAACCAATTTTGCCGTTTTTTGTTTTCATACAATATTTCTTTGTTATATTTTCTGCTAATTTTCATGGATCTGCAAGAAGACTCAGTAGAAAAATGGCTTTGGCATCTATGTGGTCGTGTCAATTTGGAATGGGGAGGGTGGGAAAGCAAAGCCCTGAAATGTGTAGCACGTGTGCTAATTTTTCTTCTGCCTTTCTATTTTTAAAAAAGACTCTTTATTTTCTGCTGTGAAAAACTTCTCAGAGGCTGCTTCAGACTTTCATAGACGACTTATACAAGTTGATCTTAACAAGTAAGTTTCAAATACCTACCTTTTTTTTTAAGCAATCTGGTTACTAGAATGAACTGTTTTCACTCATATTAGCATTAACTCCTAAATCATTGCTATTCAAATTACAGTCTGCAAACCAGCAATAGCAGTAGTACCTGGTAACTTGTTAGAAAGGTGAATATCAGTCCCCACTCAAGACATGATGAATTAGAATTCTGTGTTTTAACACCCCCCACCCCCACATCCAATGATTTAAAATAACAATAAAGTTTGGGAGCATTGCTCTCAATGGTAGACTAAAATCTCATCCCAAAGAGACAAGAGCCAAAAGGGCCCATCGTTAAGAGTTTGCATGATGACAGTTCTGACTATGGCTGGAAATTCATAGCTTTATGGGTTTAAGTGCATTTGTAATATATTTTACTAGACCTTTGTCCAGTACTCCTATGTACTCATTTAAAAATTCTTTTATCATTGACAATTTTTTTGCATTTTATTTCTTTCCACTTTTAAATTGAAAATAAAGTACATTCAAAGTAAATACCATGTAACAAGCATAAATTTATCCACAGTAGAGTCCATGTCACGATTATTTTTTCAGACTTGATCAGAATAAACTTTGGCACTTCCCATATTGGAAGAAAGCTGTATCAGTTATTTTAAGGGACCTCATTCTCCTTTGGATTGTAGGGGAGCTCAGGGAACTTATGCAGCTCCCTAAAGGGATAGTCTGAGTGTAAAAAGGGATTCCCTATCCATTGTGTTCCGCTATCTCTTACCCACCTACAGACTTCTGAAACCATTCAGTCTTTGTTATCCTCCTTTATCTGCTCCTTTTTAATGCAGTAGAACTGAAAGACTTATCAGGAATAACTTAAGAGTTCACTCTGTCTACCTTTCCAGGAGGCCTGGCTATCTTCCTAGAAAGAAGTAAAGAATGTCTTTGAGTACTTTTTGATTGATGTGTGATCCAGAAAAATATAACAAACAATTTCCCATTAGGTCTCTCTCCTGACTGTAATATTACAAAGATGATCCTGCTATTGTTTCTAGCTCACCACGTAAAGCATTACTGTGTTAATATTCATTTTGTTAAAAATTTATCGCTTTTAGAAATGTATTTTCCCAAGCCTTGTTTTTATTTAATATTATTTTGAAACATGATTCTGTAGTTTGGTTTATAATTATATATATGTTCTTCTCAAAGTCCCATTGCAGTGAGAATGATGAATGACCAATTGATGCTCCTGGAAAGAGCATTCATTGATCCCCTTGGTTTACCAGAAAAGCCATTCTATAGGTAAGGAAACAACAGGTGATCCACTAAAGGGCACCAAATACATCACTGTGACCAAAACCTGTCAGCATACCTGAAGTCAGCTTTAATGCCATTAGATGGGTGAAAGGCAAATATGTACACTAAAGGGAATTTGGGTAAGATTGTGCATCTAATAATAGTATAATACATACTAGAAAAATAAATTTCATATTGTTTATTGCTCTGCTGTGAGTGAAAATGGTAAAGGATAGTTAAAAAAGAACTCTAACAAAATCTTCAAACTGTATAATCTTAAAGGGAATTTTAGAGCTCATCTAGTTCAGCCTTCTGCATGAATCCTTTCTATAGAATCTCAGATAAATTAAGTTATCCAGTCTCTGAATCTTCCAGTGATGGGAAGCTTACTACCTCATGAGGAAGCCCATTTCACTTTATGAAAGGTCCAATTATTAGAAAGTTTTCTTCATAAAGATCTAACATCTATTTTCCTGTAATATTTTTCTCTTTGAGTTTGTTCTGTTATTCAAAGTCAAATAAAATAAGTCTAACTCTGTTTCCATATAATATTTTAGGTTTTTGAGATGGCTCTCAACAATGGTTAGATTTCATTTCTTGACTTTATAAAGGTGCAAAGGCAATACACATTAAGCAGAAACCATACTTTAAGCACCCATATAACCATTCTGGTTTTCATATTCAGTGTAGTATTCAATAAACTACATGAGATATTCATCACTTCATTATAGAATAGGCTTTGCATTAGAAGATTTTGCCCAACTGTAGGCTACTGTAAGTGTTCTGAGTACAGTTAAGGTAGGCTAGGCCAAGCTATGATCTTTGGTTGATGAGGCATATTAAATGCATTTTTGACTTGTGACATTTTCAGTTTATGATGGTTTTATCAGGACACAACCCACTGTTAAGTCAGGAAGCCTCTGTATTCTATTTTCCTATCTGTATCTCTGCATCATGTTCTCTTGCAGTGTCTTGGCTCCATGCCTTTGGATGATCTCTATTTGCTCAAAGTCCTTTTAAACAGTGGTTCTCTAGTAGAAATTAGAAAGGTCCTAAAATTCAAAGCCAGAAAATCTGTATTCCAATTCACTTGCGGATATGTGATTTAGAGCAAGTAACTTCTAGGGTTTTCCCATCTGAATTAAGATGATGATAATTGCAACTTTACAAGTCTATAATCAAATAACATGCAAATAATAATAATAATAATAAAGGTCTATATGTTACCTTTCTTATACATGTTAATGATTAATATTAACATTTAGATAATTACAAGCACAGGCTTTTAGAACTCATCTCTGCACCCCCTCCCCCACATCTTATTTTTAGTTTTTTTTTCCCAATTACTTACTATTATGAAAAGTATTGACACAGTATAGATGTCCTTGTGTCCTGTTTGAACATTTGTTAATATAATCACCTGGGATTGCAGGGTAAAAGGTAAACACATTTTCAAATTTAATTAGGTTACTGCCAAACTGTCCTCCAAGGATAACCATGTTTTCAAAAATGCATTTTGAACTATTAGCTGAATATTAAGATTATATTCTAATGCTAATTCTTATTTTTGTTTTAGTCTACTGCAGTAGTATGGAAATAAGTTCTTCCTTAATGATCATAAGGATTACTTTATGGACTGATATGACATACAGCATATGCACACTTTTCCCAATAACTGCTGAGAGAAATGTAGTTATAATACCAATTCCAGCTACCCAGAATTTCTCATTTGTCTTAAAGAATTTAATTCAAAATAATTTTTTTCTCATCTGGCAATGTAGATCAGATTAAAAATGATCTTATAAATCCAATAAAATCTGAAAGTAAAAATTTTCAATATGTATAACGGATCAATGACATTTTTAAGATCTGCTATTACGCCGGGCGCGGTGGCTCATGCCTGTAATCCCAGCACTTTGGGAGGCCGAGGCGGGTGGATCACGAGGTCAAGAGATCGAGACCATCCTGGTCAACATGGTGAAACCCCCATCTCTACTAAAAGTACAAAAAATTAGCTGGGCATGGTGGCGCGTGCTTGTAATCCCAGCTACTCAGGAGGCTGGGGCAGGAGAATTGCCTGAACCCAGGAGGCGGAGGTTGCGGTGAGCCGAGATCGCGCCATTGCACTCCAGCCTGGGTAACAAGAGCAAAACTCCGTCTCCAAAAAAAAAAAAGATCTGCTATTTCATGAACCTCAAGAAAGGAGAGATTACAAAATATGTTGTGTAATAAAATTGTTCTAGCATGTAGAATTTGATAATTAGACTAAGAAAATTAGACTAATCTGATGTATATATGTATAGCCATTATATATATGTATATGCATTATATATGTATTAAAAGAAAAGCCTTAGCCAAATTATATTTAACAGCATTTAATTGAGCAAAGAATGGTAGACTCAGGAGACCCCAGTGCAGCCACGTGATGGATGAGGATTTATAGACAGCAAAAGGAAAGTGACAGAAAATGGAAATGAGTTATAGAAACAGCCAGACTGCTTATAGCTCAGAGTTTACCTTATTTGAACACAGTTTGAACTGCCCCCCTTTGATTGGCCAAAACTTGGTGATTGGCACAAGAGTAGATTGAGTTTGTTGACAACTCCATTTAGGTTATTGTTTACTATGTACAGAGAAACCTTTAGGCTGAACTTAAAATATTTAAGGAGGCAGCTTTAAGTTAAACTTGATTTAAGAGTTGAGATTCAGTAATGAATAAATCAGAAAATATTGTACATATTTTAAAATAAAATGTTTTTAGTGTGGAATATATAAAACATTCATCTTAAAATTTAGAAGCATAACTAAATGTTTATTGTGAATAAAAAACATGTGTCTTAGTCCATTCCTGCTGCTATATTGAAATACCTGAGACTGGGTAATTTATAACAAACAATAATTTATTGCTCACAGTTCTAGGGGCTGGGAAGTGCAAGATCGGTGTCAGCCAATTCAGTGTTTGATGAGTGCCTGTCCCATACATGGCATTATTTTCAGGGTGTCCTGAGTTGACAGAACAGATGGAAGGGCTAGCTAACTTCCTTCATTGTCTTTTATAAGGGCTATAATCCCTTAATACTGTCACACTGAAGATTAAGTTTCAACATACAAATTTGGGGAATGAACACATTCAGACCATAGCAGCATGCTTGATAAATTTTGCAAGCTTTATTATTTTTGAGTTGTGGGTAATACATTGAAACTATCACAACGACAAATAAGTAACAAATCCTTCCTTACTTACCACTGAGCTCATTTTCTATATTCTCTTACTCTTCTTGTTTTTTCCCTAATGAAAGTTCCACATAAATTAATTGTTCTGTGTGGTAAGCATAATAATGGCCTCCCAAAGATGTGTATTTTCTAAACCCCAGAACCTTTGAGTATATTACATGACATGACAAAGAGTACTTAAGGTGGCGGATGGAATTTAAAGTTACTAATCAGCTGACTTTAAAATAGGGACAGTATTCCGAATTATACTGGTGGCCCCAATGATGTAATCACAAAGGTCCTTAAAAGTCTTACTGTGAGAGTCAGGCAGGAGAGAAAGTTAGGGCGATGCCATTGAGGAAGACTCAGTCTGAAATGCAGTTGTGGATTTTGATGGTGAAGGAATGTGGGAGGCCTCTAGAAGCTGGAAAAGCAAGGAAAAGGATTCTCCCCCTCCTTCCTCCAGGAAGGAATGTGGCCCTGATCATACTTTGATTTTAGCTCAGTGAGACTTACTCAGACTTCTAACCTATAGAACTGTAAGATAAAATCGTGTTTTTTAAGCCATTAAGTTTGTGGTAATTTGCACAGCAGGAATATAAAATGAACACACTCTGTAATGTAATCTAAAAAGGATTAAATAAAGCTTACTTTTCTTGCAAACATCAAGTGAAATACTGTAAAAGTCTTTAAAAACTGCAAAGCACTTGATTATGAAATTCTAAAAACATTTGCATTATCATAACTCATCAGTGAATAATTACTATGTACTGAGGGAAAGGTTGAGGAAAAAAGAAAGACCATGAAGTGTTGGCTGTATTCTATAGTCTGCTACATTAGTTCTTGATACCTCTTAAAAATTCAGAAATGTTCATTGTGGAGGGTAATTAAATCATCATATACTTGAAACCTTGAGAACCAGACCAGAGTTTGAATGGTTATGGGACTAGAATAGCTATTTGAGTCTACCATTTCACAAAAGGGTATTTGAATTGCTTAAGCATTACCAATTGTCGATCATTTCTTTTACTTCACTGCCTGCTTCTTATCTGAGAGAATTATGAAAAGGATTTAGCTTCAGAATAATAGCTAATGATTTTCACAACAATCTTTGAGGACAGTACTTTTATCATCACTATTTTTAAGATAACAGGCACAGGGAGGTTAAATAAACAGTGCAAGGCCACAAGGCTGATAGTGGACAGTATTCTGGTGATAGTAAATATGCTAGTATTCTGCAGTCTCACTCTACAACCCACTCAGTCACTACTCTATTCAGAGTCTATATTATTTCAATTATTTTACACATCTGGGACAAGTTTAGATAAGCTAGGCAATTTTCCAAAGGTCATTGAGATATTAAATACCAGATCAATGATTCAAAGATTAATCTATTCCGTCAATCCTTTTTTTTTTTTTTTTTTTGCTATACTTTTCCTTTACAATTCTCCAGAAGAGGGTTAAGTATACTTAGGCATACCTATGACTTGTACCTCTAATTTCTTGACTCATATACAGGTCAGGATACCAATGCTTATCAACAGCTTAGCACTTACACTGATTTTAATAAAAAATATCCATCTGAGGCCATATGAAGATTTAAAAGCCAAGATAATAAATCCTGATGTACTTTGGTAAATAAGTATTATAGATTTGTCATTGATTATTAATACTGACTTATATGGAGCTCTATATTGCTTCATACAGATTTATTCTAGAATAAGCTCTGGGGTTGGACTATTGGACCTAATTCCTGATGTTTTTAATAAAATATATCCCTTTCTGGAAAGCACAATTCTACATACTTATTGGGGAAAGAAGTAGCTTGATCCCTTGAGCTGCTTATATTGAAGTAGAAAAGCAATTATAAAACTTTCTTTCTAGATCAAAAGTTGGGTGTCTTTGTGGGCAACCCACATGTAACTGTTCTACCTTTGTGGAATGAACTTCATTATCCTTACCATTTGCGACATTTTGGAATACAGGCTTCTACAAAGAATTGCTTTTTAATGTTTAAAAAGTATTGGGAACAATTGTCATTCTTGTTTAATCTTTTTTAAAAGCAACACAAAAATAATCTCTCTCAATCTCCTATGAAAACATCCATTTACTTACATATTATCATGCTTGTGAGTGTTCACGGGCAGCTGAATGATTATTTTGCACAACTTACAAGAACCTACTTCCTTCCAACTGTTTTGCATTTGCAACATGGTATATGATTGGTGAGATACGTCTTAGCAAATGCATATTTTAGCTCCTTTCTTGGCTTAAAATTATAATTTGCATAAGTATCTCAAATCAATTGTCTTCCTGTTGTAGTTACAGAAGTGAATGTCACAAGGAAACATAATGTGGTCTAACAAAAGGAAACAAAAAGCATATGAAATATATGTATACACTTTAGTTCAATTTGCCTTGTTTTGTTTTTTTTGTTTGTTTTAGGCACATCATATTTGCTCCAAGTAGCCACAACAAATATGCTGGAGAATCATTTCCTGGCATCTATGATGCTATCTTTGATATTGAAAATAAAGTCGACTCTCGTTTGGCCTGGAAAGAAGTAAAGAAACATATTTCTATTGCAGCTTTTACAATTCAGGCAGCAGCCGGAACTCTGAAAGAAGTGTTATAGGAAGCTCTCACATGGGTAGCCATTAAAGGTATTGCTCAAAGTCTGAGGATAAAATTCACCTTTCTGTTAACTTATGAAGCCAGGGTGTTCTATAATCTTGCTGTCATGTTTTGATTATAGGCTTCGATCTTGCTCATCTGCAAAGTGTTTCTTTCCTCTTAAAAGATAATAATTATATTAGCAAAGTGTTAATCTAATGAAATTAAAAATTCCTCTTGTGGCAGAATGAGAAAGTAAAATTCCCTAAATTATAGCAAGGAACTTGAATTCTCAGAAATGGTGAGTGTGGGAATGTACAATGGTAAAACCACTTTTGAAAACAGTTTGGCACTTTCCTATAAAGTTAAACATATACTTTTACTTTATAACTCCAGAATTCCACTTCTAGGTATTTATTCAAGAGAAGGAAAAACAATGATCACAGCAATACTTGAATGCATGTTCATTGCAACTTAAAAGTGTAAACAACCTAAATGTCCAGTAATGGATGAATGGATAAACTGTGGTATATCCACAATAGACTACTACTGAGCAATAAAAATGATGTAACTTTCAATTAATGCAATATTACTGGCAGACACTGTTGAAGGAAAAAACCAGACATAAATAACTACATAGTATATGCTTCTATTTAGATGAAGTGGCAAACTAATCTGTGGTGTTAGATTAGATGAGTGATTTGCCTGGGCAAGTGACAGGTTGGGGAGGATGGCTGCAGAGAAGTATGAGAAAACTTTCTCCAATAGATGAGAATTTTCCCTATCTTGATCTGAGTGGTAAACTGTAAACTTAACATGTATACATGATTTACCATATGAAAATTAAGCCTCAATAAATGTGATTAAAAAAAAAAAAAAAGTCTGGCAAGGAAACCAGAATAATATACCTTCTCTTATGAAATCACCATTAAGTGTGGTCAGGAAAAAGCCAGTAATATTCACATATTTAATAATTTAGCTCTACTTAATAAACACTAAGTCTGATGGGTGATGAAAATAGCTACTACAATTTTCATACTCTAACTCCTATAAAGAATATATGTCAGAATCTGCAAACTTTTACGGAGATCCCAGTGACTCAATTACAGGTAAACTATGATTAAAACTTCAATAAACTTGGCAATCTACTACACCAAAACAAGTTAAGAATTAAAAATCAGAAGAGCTGTCATAGGAAGGCACAAAAATTAAAATAGGAAGTGACAGCTCAAAGCTTAACTACAAGGAAAAACTACCCCTGTTACCCTTGCTCCCAGGCCAACAATACAGTTTAACTTAAAACAGTGGGGGCATTTAATTTAGGGACATTTTCTATACATCTCAGTATTACTAGAAGGTATTTCACTGATCTCCCACAATAAAGTAAGTTGCAAGTATTGCAATGACTCTGTCATCAACGTAACTTTTAAGTATGTTCCATTTCTTCTGCTTAAAGAGGCAGTGAGTTGTGTTACTTACAAAGTATAAATATACACAATTAAGACTTTTGTAAAAGTTTTTCTCAAATCTAGGGAGTCAGCTTCACTACCATGCTACACTACCTTAGTATAACACTTTAACTTTTGCTTTGAAGCACTGTGTTGTAGAAAAAATACAGCATTAAGACCCATGAATTACCCTGTCTACTACCCAACTGAGTACATCACTATGTATCTCTGGGCATCAGTTCCCTCTAACTCTGTGAATTCTAAAGGAGACAAAGCACAGAGGTTTAGAAATCTCTTGGATGTTCTTCCTACTGGTAGTTTTCCTGAAGACAAAACAGTGTATGTAGTTTGAAATACAAGTTTGGGGTAAAATAGTAATCACTGCAACTTATTTATTTTTCTTTTAATTCTTATTCTGCTTTTATCATTCGTAATCAATATCTGATTGTTAGCAACAGAGCAAGTGATTGTGGGGCATGCACCATCATCAATTCAGGACACTGAATATAGGATATGTGTTATCACATGCTGAACAGGGCATACGTTTGAACTTTTTAAAAAAACTTTTCCCCCTAAGCATTTGAGATCAACTGAATTAAGCTGTTAATCATTATTCCCCTTTTCTCTCATTCCTTCATCCAAGTCCTGAGATACTATTTCTCTTAAGAATACTTAGGAAATAAGGAAATATTTTGTTACAGTATATTGCCTGTTTTAAAACATTCTTTTAAAATCAAATAAGCCATAAATAATTATTATAATGTAATACTTTTAATCATTTATCAAACCAAATTATGGTTAATCAGAAGTTGTCTAACATAAAAACTAGTAAGTAAAAAGCATGTGAAATGTGTGTATATACTTTGCCCAGAAATTCTAAAAATTGGTTTCTATAGAGAAAACTGGACAGAATGACAATATATGTGATACAAGGGTGTTTACTACAGCATTTTTTTTTAAATCTTAGTAAAAATAAGTCACAAGCTAATACCAATGGGGAATTGATTATAGTATAAAAGTGATTATAACATGATTATATACATATTTTTCATTTATATGGTAAGTTGTCCAGGACTTGCTGGTTTAAAAAAAGCGACAAAGCTAAATATATAAAGTATCAACCATGCTTGCATTTCGGTGGTAGAACTTTATGTGACCTGTACTCTGTATTTTTCTGAAAGTTTTTACATGAGAATATTCCCTTTCGTAAAGGGTACAATGATAAAAACTACTGTTTCATTTTGAACGGACAGAAGTACAGAGTAATGGGATGCATTACAGTTCACAAATAGTAATCCTATTTTGTACCCTTGAAATTTATTAGTTTATCCTATTCTGAGGATACAGATAACACTCATTTATATACATATACATGGGACATCTTAAGATTTCCATGTAGTTCAGAATTTCAAAAATATCAATCAATCCTTGAGCTTTCAAGTATAGAAGTGAGTTTAGGGTAAAATAGTAACTTTTGAAATAATTACAGTACTGTACTAATGTTTTTTTTCTTATAATTGCTTTTTAACTTTATGCACTCATTTGATCTTTTTTTCTACCTTTTTAATAACTTTTATTCATCTTTTTCCAATCCCCAATGTGATTAAATTCAGAAGAACAGTATCTTTCAATTAAATGATGCAAAACTTTATTTCAGATCATCTCATTTCCTTTCCCCTTTGTATCACAATTATACTAATTAGAGCCAGAGTGATCTTCCTAAATGTGATCATGCTACAGGTTATGAAAAAACCCTTCAATGGGGACCTCCACTACCAGAAATGATGTGGTAGTACTGGCAATCGCTCCCAGGTGCAGTAACTAGGAATAAATGGATCAAATGCAAAAGACATTAGAGATACCAAGGAGCTGTGGAAGCACTGCAGACTAGATGTATTAAAAGTCTCTGAGTCTTTTCTAGCTATCTTAGACTACCAACTGTTTTCTTTCCTGGGAGGATTTGCCAATTCTAGGCATGGGCTAAAGATCAGGCTTGGTGTAGACTAAAGCACTTGACTGGGGAAAATCAGCAGGACTTAGTTACTGACCGCATGATCTATCACGGCGTGCCAGAATCTAGAGGAGCCCCAAACCCAATGCTGAGTGAGACGAATGCTTAGAAGCTAGAAAAACAATGCTTCTGAACAGGCCAATACCATCTGTCAGTCAATGCCAGGCTTCTTCATACCCTATTATTCTTTCTCCCTTCCCCTCTCTTGTATTTGTCTGGCCTGCCTCCTACTCTTTTTTTCCCCCTCGGAACTGTATTTATCCTTCACAAAATTCATCTATAAAATCTATCAAATATGTGCGACAGACAGTTTCTACAGGCTTATCTTTGGCATAATTTTTATTAAACAGCCTCTTATTATCCTTGATGTACCCTTTCTTGGAAGCAGAGTGTTTAATTATCTCCAGCACACAGGAGACTTTATTTGTTGAAAAACAAAATAATTAAGCAAAGGAATCACTATAATATTAAAGATGCTTACAAACTTTTATTAAAATTATCACAATAAAATCTATAAACTTTATACCTATCAGGTCTGAACAATGCACTGGGAGGAGAAACCATTAAAAAACTAACTTCAAGTGAACTCAGTATTTCCTGGCAAATCACAAATACGAAAAGTAGATCACCCATGTATGCTAGAGGATCTCTTTGGGAGAAGTATCCTACAATTTATAACATTTTACCCGTGGTTCTTAATCCATTAAAACATTCTGAAACTTCAGAACCTTTAGAGATTGTCTTTCTCCTGTAATGTGATGGGATATCGTCCCTAACTTGCTAGAACTGAGAAACCAGCTAGCTTTACATAATTGAAATGAGTGAATTTGTTTGCCTAATACACTAATACTTACTTATTTTAATGAATTGTTTCTCTCACCCACACAAAGTGACTTATGTTAGCTGTCTACGCATGTGGCCTTTTAATCATCCACATACACAAATACCGAGATGCAAAAATTGTTCAGAGTCCAGATGATAATAAGGCTAAGGTTTTATTTCTATGCACAAGCATTTAGAACAAACTGCCTGCAAGGGACAGATTTACTGCCATGGGCCTTTTACTTTGACTCAGTCTTGCAGCTGCAAAATCCATCCCTAATTTTTGTCAACTACCCATTAGCCCTTTAGATGTTCTTAGTAAGAAAATCAATGGCTCAACTCTTGCGAAAACTAAAAGCACATTATCTTCTCATGGTAATTTAGTCATTTAATACTAGGAAAGAAAGGAATAAGCACTAATAAGCAAACGGCCATTTAGATTCTGGGTTTTACATGTTGACTTAGATGTCTTCAGTGTCATGGTTACGAGTTTAAGAACTTTCTAATTTTAAAATTAAATTTCACCATTTGCTATCTGTGTGACCCGAAGCAAGTTACACACCTTTCTTTGCCTCCATTTCTCCATCTGTAAAATACAGGTGGAATACTGTAAATAATCATGGTGATGTTCTGAAGAGAAAAGCTATCTTAACATCTTAGCAGTGTCTGCCACATTCTAATCATGCAAATAAAAAAAGACAGCAAACTATCATTACGTCCACAGCTTCAAGTTACCTCTTATAACTAATACTTTCTAAATTCCTAATGGATTTCTACTCACGTGAATTAAGTCTGGTGATTAGACACCGACTCCCTGAAGGTTTTAAATTATCTTCAGATTCTGGTTTTGTCTTGCCACTGGCTTTCTGTTCCCTTAAATTTGTTCCCCACCTCTGCCCCCATTCAGCACTTTCCCACAGATGATTTTAAGTAGATTTACTGGGGGTAAGGTAGAAGGTGGACTTGAAGGAATCTTTAAGGCATCAAAAATAGTCTAGGTTGTCCTCTAATATGAACTGAGTAGTCTCGGCTCAATCTGTTACTGGAATTCAGCTTTCTTTAGTAGGAAGCCTTTTAAGGTTGTACATAAAATTATAATGATCCCATTCGTTACAATCAACCTAAAGTACCATTTAAAACTTACTGGTTTTCTTGACACAGACAACTTCTACATTTTCTGTACCTTAAGAATATATCATACCTAGTTTTATCAATCATATTTTATCATGATACTAACAGAATCAAGGGTCTGTGGTAGATTTATTTTGCTTTTGCCCATCCAGCCTTCCCTGCCCATTCTGGGAAAAGAATGTTTTCATAAGGGGAAGGATCCATTACAGATGGTTTGGGTGGCACACAGAGTTATTTAGCAGGTGAACCTAAATACTCCTGTATTGGATTTACTTATTCCCAGGCTTGTGCACTCCTACTAACAAAATAATCAAAAGCAGGGATTGCCAGTTTTTTAATAAAAACAAGATGCTCTCAAAGTTCACAGTGCTATCAATGTTGCATCCTCAAAGTTAGCTAAATAGTAATTTACACTACTGCCTATTATGATTCCAAATCCTGAGAGCCAGACAAGGCCTCACTGTGAGCTTCACATCTTACCAATAGCTTGTAGTACTTGCTGAGGATTTGTAAACATTCCTTAGACTTAGCAGTCCCTCAAGAAAATCATTTCCTTCAAAATCTGTCTATATTCTCTATTTTGTTTAAGCTCTCCCTCAATTCCCAAACCTAGGAATTATTATCCTAAATTTTCATCTAGTCCCCAATACCTTTCAAGATCCTAAATCTCTTTTCTTCCTACTGCTGCTGCAGTATTTGATGCCCTAATCCTAACTGGTCTGTCTCCACACTAACTGTAATTGCTCCCTTTTATCAAAGCTAAACTTGATGCTGTTTTATTGCATCTTTTATCTAACACAGGTAAGAATTACTATTTACAAGCTACATATCAGTATCAAAATGTCAATGAAAACTTTAGTGCTTTGTGCAGTAAGGATTCTGAAACTTCTTTGGAGGCTGTTATTAATAGTTTTCCATGCTATACGCCCATCTCATATAAAGCCTATTCACCTAACTGACAAAAACAGAATAGAATAGTGGTTAAGAGCATGAAACAGCACAAAGTCAGGCTGCATGAGTTTGAAATCTTTTTTTTTTTTTTTTTTTTTTTTGAGACGGAGTTTCACTCTTGTTACCCAGGCTGGAGTGCAATGGCGCGATCTCGGCTCACCGCAACCTCCGCCTCCTGGGTTCAGGCAATTGTCCTGCCTCAGCCTCCTGAGTAGCTGGGATTACAGGCATGCGCCACCATGCCCAGCTAATTTTTGTATTTTTAGTAGAGACGGGGTTTCACCATGTTGACCAGGATGGTCTCGATCTCTTGACCTCGTGATCCACCCGCCTCGGCCTCCCAAAGTGCTGGGATTACAGGCGTGAGCCACCGCGCCCGGCGAGTTTGAAATCTTTATACTCACTAGTTTGAACTCTCGGCAAGCTACTTAATATAATCAATCAGTTTCATCATCTGTAATATAAGAATTAAAAAACTACCTCATAGGGTGGTAAGATTAAGTCAATATTCATTACAGTTCTTAGAACACTGACTAACCAATGTACAGGTACTAGCCTTTAAGTGATGCATGGCTGACGTCTACAAGAGCCAATGAAAATACTAAATACTAGAGAATGGGGATACAATTGCTGGCCAAAACATAAAGAGGATACAGACATTAAGAAGTTAATCATAAAAAATAAAATCTGAATAAATATGAAACTGCAAAATGAAATAAGCAAAATGAAGAAAAGGATCAGAATGTTTAAAAATATTAATACACCCATCTAACCTCTTTATGGAAGGAGGGAAAAGTGCCTCAAGTTCAGGAAGGTTTCCCTTTTCAAGACTCAATCACTAATCTCACTTTTATTGTAATGTCTTAAAAAAAATTTAAACATTTAAATAGCATCTCTGCCTAATCAAAAAGGAACAGAAAATTGAATTATTTTGACACACACTCTTTAAGCAACATAAAATATGTTTAAGGCTGGAAGTTTTATTCCATTTCAGTGGACATTAAAGGTGGCCCACTAAATGGAAAAACTAAGTCAAGTCACTAATGAGTTTTTAATGAAAACACAGTCTTCAGAAAAACTGTTTTTAAAGATATTCTTCGTAATGAAGAATTCTGTTAAAAAGTTAAAATCAAACAATAACTATGCAGAAGAAAACCTCTGCAAGCCTGGTATTTTAGAGAGAGTGCCACAGGTGTAAAGCCGTAGGCATATACAAAACTAAAGAAGGCAAACCATCCAACACCAGATCAAGTTGTAAGATACCTGGGCAGTAGGGAAGCAGTCAGGGAAAACAAACAAACAAACAACCAACCCTATCTACCAATCAAAATAAGCAGAAAAACCTATTAACAAAATCTAAAGACAAGCTGGATTTAATAGCTTGCATTTCAGAACTGAGGCCACAGAATGATACTGGCAAAAACAAAGTAAATACCAAATATGAATGCCAGGTCAAATAAATTTGCAAAACAACAACAAAATAACCTATTAATATTCCAATAGATAATTTAAAAAGTACCTGAGTGCTAAAATAAAAACAATTTACAGAGTACAGACCCAAATATCCTAAAAGGGATACCAGCCCTCATAAATGAGCTTTTAAGAGTTTACTTACTATATATGCATGACATAAATTTTCAGGCTGGGGAATAACTGATTAAAAATTTTTTTTTTTAAAAATCAAGAGTTTGGAGAAGGTATATAACTCAAAGTCCCTTTAAAATATTCACAAAACTCTTTAAAGTTTCTCTTCACTTTGATGGCTAATTTTCTGAAAAAAATTCCCTTGTATAAAATATAAATTATAATAAAGTAAAATAATTACAGTCCTTAGCCAGTATACAGTTACATCAAGAAGTTATATCTTCAACCTATTAAGGTTTGTGGATTCCTAATCATAATTGTTTATAAATTACTAGGTTAAATTATTACCAAAAAAGTAGGACAGGTCTTAAGACCTTGAAGAGTTTCACTAAAAACACAGTAAAAATTAGATGTTCTACTTTAGTTAGTTGTATTGTACCAAGGTTAACTTAAGTTTTGTAGAAGTTGTATGATCTTGTAAGATTTTAACATTAATATAAGATATAAAAAACTCTTGTATTATATTTTTACAGCTTTTCTGTAAACCTAAAACTAGGTCAAAGTAAGAGGTTATAAAAAGGCTCAACTTCTCAGGACCGTACTTTATACTAGTAAACGTGCTATGAAAGAAAAATAGCATTTTAGGTTTCCCATGTTTAGTTACCAAGTATACATATAATACACCTAGCCTTGACTGCTTTACTACAGTAATTATTTTTAATGCTAAAGAAGAAAGCAAATATCTAGAAAACGAATCAGTAAAGCATTTTTTATTAACTTTTTTGACAAACCAACAGTAAAACATATGCTACCTAACAATAACTGTGTCCCTTCCCTCTACGTATGAGTCTTAAGATAAATGTCATTCAGATTTTTATCTGGACAACAAATTTGAAGGCGCCCTAAGAAATAAGAAATGAAATACCATGGTCACTAATGTAACCAGACTAAATATAAAAGCTATATAGATAATGTGTGTGTGTGTATAGATGTGTGTGTATATATATACACATTAAAAAAATCAATGTTTTGAACAATGCAACAAATCTGAGGTTACACTAACTCACTACTTTAAATAGTATTTCAATCACATATAACAAATTAAGATACTGTTTACGGGAACACAGCCTCAGAAAGAAATATTTTAAAAAGGCAATATTGATCCTTAACTTTAATCAAACTAAGTATCAACCTTTCCCCCAACCCATAAAGACTTCATGTCTCTAAACAGTTGCTGCATCATGAAAGATAACTTGAAAAATTTAAATACATCTCAGGGCAGAGTGAGTCCAACTTTTACTGCCCAGAGTTTCTTGTCATGGTGGCGTAACGTCATCAATGTCTGGTTGCCAGATCTTTTAGTTTTTATTTGTAACAAAGCTATACCTTTCAGCAATTATATTAACTACATCTAAGTTATTTTCTAATGGTAGCAGAATGATATATATGCTTTATTAACGAAAACAGTACTTTTGTAAATTTTTCTAAGAATTCCATAAATACAAAAAAAAAAAAAAAAAACCACAGAAAAGACTTGAGGGGTTTGGGAAATAAACCCCTTTTATTTTCATTTTAAATCTATATAAGTTTAATTTATTCCCAAACTTTCTAAGTTCTTCCAGACTTTTGGCCTTCGTAGTATTTCCTAATTTTTCTTCTTGAGCTCTGTGCTGCCTCAAAACCTATCCAAACAAATCTAGTTCTGTGTTATCTATATTTAATATAAATAAAGTACAATATATAATCAACATTGTATCACTGGAATTATGAAGCTCTTCATGAATTACTTTTTAAAAAAACTCCAAAAGAATTGAGCTATTTTATTTAACATGTAATAGACAGTCATAAAGCAAGTCCATATATTTAGTTTTCTGATATCCTAACGCATTTTCACAAACTTTTTAAGTCTACAATTTTATATAGTTTTCCATCAGGGAGACAAATATATATAATTTCTTTTTATATTTAACTAAAGGTTTTAAGAGGGTTTACTCTATAAATCAGTAACAATTTAGTCATAACACCATACAAACACATTTAAATATTCAGGAAAGAGGTTTTTAAGATTATTGCTTAGTGTTATAAAATGGTGAATTTTAACCAGATTGATACCTCTGTATTCTTGTTTCCTATACTCTTACATCATACTGCTTGGTAAGTAATGTAAGTTTTGACGTAGTTTAAAAATTCAAGTAGCTGTAAACAAATTCTAATTTGTTAAACTATTCATATATTCCCCTTTACTTACTACACTATCCCAGATTTAATCCTCCTTAAAAAAGTGATCATCCCACATAGAAAAAAACCGCAGAGCATCATCTCTTCCTTAAATATTTTCAAGTACTGTAAAAACACAAATCCATGAAAAAAATGATTAAAATTTGACATTTCATCTTGCTTTACTAATTACGGAATAGAAAGACGTAAAAAACATGTTCCGTAATATTTCTCTGCTTAACAAAGAAATACAAAGAAATACTGTAATTATGGTTATGGGCTATTTTCCAGCCTCTTCAAGTACAGGACACAACTGTGGTTCCTACCATCAAGGAGAAATGAATAATCAATCTTAAATTATACAAAAGAAAGATGAGAGGCACAAAAAGACTAACTTTGGCTTTTAAGAACCTAATGTTAACCCTGAAATGCCAGATTCAGTAACACACCAACAAAAGATTACAGCAGCAAGCCACCACTTCACACAGTATTAAGAATTCTGAAATATGTTAATAGTCTTCCTCCTATCTCCCACTCAATCTGTTGTGTCGTCTTTTTGTTTTTCCTGCTTTTTCGCTGCAGGAAGTTCAAGGCTTGCCCACTGCATCGGTTCAGCTTTTCTCATAGTGATCTCAATCTTTGTTGCAGTCATAGTTACATAACTTCGCTTTACATCAATCACCTGTAACATATCAAAGAGAATTACAAGAAACTTGGGTGGTTTTATTAACCTCAGAGGAAAGCATCAGACTTGCTTATGCCAATAATCCCAAATCCAAGCTTCTAAAGGCCTCTTTTATATATAGACTTAAACTTTTTGGGAGGATACACTGTTAAGTTATGTATCTATACTTTGCATCAATGTTTACTAAAGAAGTGTCTTTTATTCTACAAATGATATCTTAAGTTATTGGAAAGAAATTCTTATAATAAATTGGTAATACTTACACCCCATAATTTCACATTTTGATCAAATTCCTTCTCTCCTTCAAATACAATGTGCACATTTAACTGAAAAAGATATATACAGGTTTATGGTACCAAACACTGATCATAAAAATAAGATGGACAAAATTAAATGAAGCTGTTTTAAGAAAGGGTCAATACTATATTGTTTCATATGAGAAAGGCCATTGACAAAAAAGAATAATTGGCTTCAAGCTTCATACTGGGAACTAAGAACTATGTTACTTGATAAATCTACTACTACAGAATCTCCAGAATGTTTCGGTAACTCTATTATGCAGAAATTTTCACTTAAAATAGTTTCATAGAAGTAATTTAAATTATTTTCATGTGGGAGTCATTATAAAATCTTACACCTAAATCAGCTGAGATATGAACAATACCTTAAAATACAGTAACAAATAATGATGTTGAGAAAAGAATTTTTACTCAAAATTATTAGGTGTACATACCAATGTGCTATTTGCTTCTACTCGACTAAGTTCTGGAAGTGAATTTTTAGCGTATACTGAAATGGTAACTTCACCTCCCGTCTGATGCCAATCATGTCTACACGGAACAACTTTTTTCCCCTGTAATATAAGAGAAACTCTGTAAGTTTAAAAAGTGCTGCATAGGGGCTGGGCACGGTGGCTCATGCCTGTAATCCCAGCACTTTGGGAGGCTGAGGTGGGCCGATCACGAGGTCAGGAGATTGATACCATCCTGGCTAACACGGCAAAGCCCCGTCTCTACTAAAAATACAAAAAAATTAGCTGGGCATAGTGGCACACGCCTGTAGTCCCAGCTACTTGGGAGGCTGAGGCAGGAGAATTGCTTGAACGCAGGAGGCGGAGATGGCAGTGAGCCGAGATCGCACCACTGCCCTACAGCCTGGGCGACAGTGCAAGACTCTGTCTAAAAAAAAAAAAAGTGCCACATAATTAATTTCTTAAAAAGAGGAATTCAAGCCATCTAACTTAGAAAAAATTACCATGCACAACAAAGCACCTAATGTTTAAGGGCAAAAAACTTCTAAATTTTCCAAGTGGCTTAAACAAAATATATCATGATACAAAGATTCTTCAAAAATTTTATGATTTGAGAACACACTTATTCCTACCCTTTGTTTTTTTTCTTTTAGGGCCATAGTATTAATACACATTTAAAAAGACAATTTAAGAACTTTGACTAAATTTAGTCCAATTTTAACATTCTGTAAGTACTGTCATCAAAACATTTTTTAAAGACTGAAATGGAAGACATTTGCTTAGTGGGATAAATTAGACAACACCTTAAACTCATGCACTAGAAAACTTATTTATTTTCTACAAATCAGAATCTAGGAACAAAACAAAAAACCTGACCAGTTATTACTTTCTTCCCATTTTAATAAAGAACAAATAACTTCTGGATTTTCTGATTACGGAAATAATCCCACATACCCCACATGCCCTATCAGTAATTTTATTTTTTTATTAGAGGCAAATGGTGATTTGTTATATAAATGGGAACAATTTAGTTACATAATTCAGGAATTCTGAGACACTACTGTTGTAAAAGGCACTATTTTCGTTTTGATACAATGACATTAAAATTACATATATCACTCACATTTCTGCCCTTAGCTATTAGTTTAGATACTTAATACCTGAAAACTGCATGCATTAAAAAAAGAGAAAAAATACATCATTTTATCTAGGATTATACTCTCAAAACTTAACAAAATAGAAAACATGTTATTTTTTCAAACTAAAATTTTCAAATTTCTGGACTATACAAAATAAAGACAGACTCTCTCACTTTATTTAAAAATATTTCTGATAGTTTTGTGGTAGATGAATTTTTATAACTTCAGGGGTATTTTTATAGTATCCAACCGTGTGTTGTTAAGCAGCAGCAACTATAAAATATTCAAATACCGAGATCTCTAAATTAATTTGAAAATTTAATACATTATAAACTACATTAACAGTAACTAACAGACAAAAACTTATTAAGCAATAAGTTGCCCATCCTCTTACAATTTAATGGGGTTTTGGGAAATTGTTTGCATAGCCCCAAGTCTTTTCAAAAAGCTTTCCAGGGAAGTAGAACTGATGCTTTTTATCTTCCTTTTGATAAATATCCCATTAGCAAGCAGAGGCATTCAAAAGAATTCCACTGAAACAAGACTGCTTATCCTCCTCTCTGTTCACTAGGTGAAGTGTCTGTGCATCTGTAAATGACTGAATGAAGTTTTAAGTGGCCAAAAGAATAATCAGAGGTCTAAATGTTTAACGTCATCAAATTCATGGAGTAGTAATTTTTAAAAACAAAAAGTAAGAACATGCCATGGAGCTAATTTTATTAAATAAAAAAGACAAAAAAAATGCTTCAATTTTGTCAGGTGTATTTCATAAAACCCCACATGCTTGCATCAAAATAGACAATGGCTGTTTTGCTCAAAAGGCACTGGCTTGACTCAGATTAATTTTATTTTGTAGTCATATCAAAACTTTATGGTGCAAAAAAAGAAAACTTTTTTTTAATCTAAAGACAGAATAGTTTCAAATCTTTAAAAAATGACTCAGATGAATATAAGCCCAGCGTGTTACTTTTGGAAGAGTTACTTACGGCATCCTTTTTAGTCCACATGTGTTTCCCTGTTGTACAGCCCTCTTGGGCTAAGAATGTATTAAAATCAGAAGTTTTTCTTCTACAACAGCTCCAGTATTTCATCCTTTAAATTATTACAGAAAAATTTCAGAAATAAAATCTCACAACCAATTAAATCTAGAAGTATTTTAGGAATAAATCTGACTTTTTAAGAAGTCAGTAAGTGTGCAACTCAAGTATCTAAGTTACTAAATATAGATGTAAAGTATCTATCAGGAAGAGTATATTTTAAAACCAGGATGCTAATTATTATAGTAATCTTGAAGCTCCTGAGTAGACACTTAACAAACTATAGAAATGATCCCTGCAAGTATAGTCTTCCTGAATGAAGTCACTTAAAACCATCACGTATTCCAAATCAGCTTTTCAGTGATGGCTCACACTCCAGTTTCCTCATGAAGCTACCAAAAACTTTTATGACCAAAGAGTTATAACCTATTTCAATAAGTCATTATAAACAAATTAAAATTTAATGATTATACAACATATCCCAAAGTAGGTTATACCCACTATTATTTACTTGAGATAAACTGAAAAGAGGAAGACAAAAATCAAGGCAAAACTTCAGGTTTCGAATCCTGAAGACTGTGGAAACAGAGTGGAAGATTCTTACAGTGGTGCATTTCCATAAACTAGAACATAATACAGAAGAGAGGTTCCTCTCAATTGAGGAATGTGGAAAAGTATGGGTCTTCTTGGGAAAATGGTATCTTAGTGCCCCACGACCCAAAATTCTAAATGCCCTGCAATGTGTAGGACAGTCCTTCAAACAAAAAATTTAGCCCAAATAGAGTGTATCACTTTTAAATATAGGGTATAAAGAAAAACGGGGTTTATATCACAGTGACCACTTAAGAACTGTTAACCTTGTTTCTGTTTTCTCATGTGGAAACATACAAACCCCTGTGATTTGTAGGTTATTGTGAAGATGTTGATGACAAAAGTAAAATGCCTAATAACAAACTGCATTGCAAACAATGTTTAAAGACAGACCTGTTTAACTTTGTAAATTCTACCAGAGTATTTTAGTAAGTCATGCATAAGTTACCCCTCATGGAAAATAGGTACTCCAGAATGATACACACAGACTTCTTCTAGACTCTCTAGACCCCGATACGTCTAAAAGAGAAACAGAGAAAAAAAATTAGCTGCATATCTCACAGTTACATCTCATACATATTTGCAGTACTGATGACCTCTACGAACTTTGCAAAATACTTAAATGACAATTACCTACAAAATTCATAAATCCATCCCACGCCATTCTGTTAAAAAATGAAAAATGATTCCCTTTTGGACTTGGTTAAGTTTTAGGTCCCTGCGAGAAGGTCATATTAAGATACTTTCAGCCTTTGGAGTATGAGATCCCATCCAATCATATTCAAGTACTTAAATTTAGAAAACAATGTTGAAGCCAACAGATTAATACTCTCAACAGAAATACAGTTACGGCATGACTTAAGTGTACAGTAAACTCCATGTAGGTATTAGCAAGTAATATGAGAAATCTAATAAGCAATTCTGGAAGCCCTGAGTGATGGTGATTTCTTATCCCTATAAAGGGTAAAATGAGCTGCAGACCTATATATATATCCAGGGTTTGTCTGGAAGATCCGGGCCCCATTGCTGCTGTAGATGGAGGCTCTACAGATGAATTCACAAAAAATTATGTTAATAAAACATGGATGTAGCCAGTAGTATATTTTCTATTCTTGTATTTATAGCAACTACCTATGAACAGAAAATAAAATTCTGTGTTTATCTTTTATAAATCCAAAGTACAGTACTAGATGTGTATATCTCAAGATATTTCATAAAAACATAAAACTCAGTATGTTAGCATCTAAACTTAATGCTACTGCCCCCAAAGTCTATTCTTTTCCCCATATTGTTTGATGGCACCATACTCAGTTTCTCAAAGCAAAATCCTGTAGTTCTTCAGTGTCTCCTCTCCCTCTACCCATAGGTAATCTATAATGAAACCTCATCAATTTGATTTGAATATATCAATTTGTTAATCTTCCTCATAAGCTAGCAGATTTTAAGCAATCAAACTATACTAACAGGTTTCTACTAATTCATTTCTCAGCCTTCAATTTCTGTTCTCTATTAATTATCAAATTACTATCACCCTCTTGTTGAAAGTTCTTTAATTACATCCACGTCACACCTAATTATAAAATAAGCAGTTCCAGGTCATTCACATATTTAAGTATGCCTATACATGAGAAAACACTCACAGCCCTGAAGTAAGCAACAATTTCTTAAACAGGACATAGAAAGCACTAGTCATAAAGAAAATGATGGACAAATTGGATTTCATTAAAATTAAAAAGCCTGTGTTTATTAAAGTGATTAAGAGTGAAAAAGCACAGAACTTCTGACAAAAGACTCCAAGCTAAAACATTTAAAGAATTCCTACAAATTGCTAAGAAAGAGACATTAGAGAGATAGGTAAAAGATTCTGCACACTTCACAAAAAGATATAAAAATGGCTAATAAACATACATGAAAGCACTCATCATTAGGGAAGTACCAATCAAAACCATGATTAAAACACTACACACTCACTAGAATGGTTAAAATTAAAAAAAGAGAACTGGCATAACAAAATTTTAACAAACTATAGGACAAGTTGAACCAGCCTCACATACTGCTGGCAGAAATGTAAAGAAATACAATCACTTTGGAAAACTATGTGGAAGTATCTGTTAATGCTAAAGATAGACATATGGGCATACCTAATCCAAAATTCCAAAATGCTCCAAAATCTTTAACTGTTTGACAGCCAACATGATGGTTAAAGGAAATGCTCATTGGAGCATTTCAGATTAGGGATGTTGAACTAACTGGTAAGTACAATGCACATATGCCAAAATTTAAAAAAATCTCCAAAATACTAGAAATGGAAATGTGTACGTGTCACAAGTCATTGACAAGAATGTTCATAACAGACCGGGTGCGGTGGCTCACACATGTAATCCCAGCACTTTGGGAGGCCAAGGTGGGTGGATCACCTGAGGTCAGGAGTTTGAGACCAGCCTGGCCAACATGGTGAAACCCTATCGCTAGTAAAAATACAAAAATTAGCCAGGCATGGTGGCGGGCGCCTGTAAGCCCAGCTACTCAGGAGGCTGAGGCAAGAGAATCACTTGAACCTGGGAGGCAGAGGAGGTTGCAGTGAGCCGAGATCATGCCATTACACTCCAGCCTGGGCGACAAGAGCGAAATTCCATTTCAAAAACAATGTTCATAATAGCATTATTCAAAACAATTTTTTAAAATTACAGGACAATATAAAGCAAAAATTATTTGTGGCACATATAATGACATACCTAAAAGGAATAAAAAAACAAAACTACAGCTACATGCAACAAAGATTAATAAAACAAGCATTATTATTCAAAAGATGAACATGAGTACATATTCTATGATTATTTTTACATTAAATTCAGAAACAGAAAAAACTAACCTATGTTGACAGGAAAACATTTGAGGGAGATAGTAAAAAAATACATAAGGAGTGGTCTGCACTGATAATGAGTTTCACTATGTGAAAATCCCTTGAGCTACAAACTTGTATTTGTATATGCTTTAACAAACTTCAATGTTATATTTTAATAAAAATATTCAAAATTTCTCCAATTACAATGGCCTCCACAATCTAACATACAATCTAAGTTCCCTGTACTACTAAACCCTTTTAGGATCTGGCCAGGCCTATTTATCTCTGTTAATTTCAACTCCACAGCAACAAATTTTTATCATCACATAATTTTCTCTATACTTCTGCTATTATTTATGCTTGAAATATCCTTTTTCTGTTTTCCCTGTCATTCACTTTTCAAAACTCATCTGATACCTTCTCCTTGATCTTCCTTTATTATCCTACCATTTGTACTGCCTTCCCCACTCCAGTAATTACTCATTCCTTTTATCTACTACTTCTACCTCATATACATGTAAATATAATTATATCTCCGTTCCTTAAATGATTTAAAACTTAACATGAGGAAAAAGCGCAAACCTGCCCCCATCCCATTTTCATCTTGTTGGCTGATGAGGTCACCAATTACCCAGATACTTGAGTTCCCCTCTAACCAGTCCATTAGTAAATCCTGCTAATACAGACAGAAGCTCCTTTGCTTGCAATGTGGTTATATCCTGATGTTACCATTGTTAACCATGGTAAGTTGGGAACCATCTATACTGTACTTCCAAAATGTATCATTCATTCTACAAGCACTATTCTAAGCATTCAAGATACAACAAAGAACAATAACAAAAATCAGTATCCTCACAACTTTTACATCAGCAGGGGGAATTAGATTGTACAGATCATAAGCAAAATAAATATGCCAAATAAGTAATATAAAGTGATTAAGAGCAACAGAGAAAAAAGGAGAGGGAGAAGAAACATTGGAGGATATGCAAATTTTACATCAAGTAGGAAGAGGCAGGGAAAGGCCTTATTGATATGTTTGACTGCATCCCATATTTAATCACTTCTCAACAAACTACTCTCCAATCCCACTGCCTGGTCTTCCATAACAGCATCCTAGCTGTTTTCTCTTCTTCCAATTCCACTCCTGTTCTGTCACCACATATTTACCATTCACCAGCCACCGAATCTTTTTAAAACCCTTCCCTAAAGCAAGTAACAGCTTCTCATAATACCTAGAATAAAGCCAAAATACCTCATCATGGCTTCTAAGAACCTCCATAATCTTGTCTACCTCTCCTACCTGCTATCCTTGCCCAAGCTCTACAGACCTTGTTATTTCTTGAACAGCCAAGTTCTAAAGCCTCTGCTCAAGCTTCTCCTTCCAAAACACTCTTCCCCCAGGTTTACATAGTCCATCCAGTACAACATGAAGATTTCTGATTGTTACTATGTCAAAAAGGACTTTGCCAATCATCTTACTAAATAGTCCCCAAGCACTCCTCAGTATGTTCTATTTTCTTCCAATCATCTTGATTTGTAATATCTAATTACTTATTTGTTGCTCTTCTCACCATTCTAGAATATCAGCTCTGTAAGGACAGAAATTTTTGCTTTATTTGATACTATGTCTCCAGCCCATAAAATGTCTGGCACATAATAAGTAGTTAGTAAATGTTAATAAGTAAACTGGAATTACTTATTTCCATTATTCTATTGGACATGATGCTACTCAGACAGAGTGTCTTATCCAGACTGTCGCCCTAGTCCCCAGCATAATGTCCAATATATAATGCGCATGTAAGTATTTGTTGAATTGAGTCAATGAACTGCACTTTCCTCAAAATTAAAATTTTACTTCACAGCACATCACAAATTTTTTAATATATACCTTTGAACACCCTCCATTCTTACATGAGGTCCCAATCTTAATTTCATCATTGTCTTCTTCTGAAACAAAGAAAGAAAATCAAATTAAAATGTTAAAACAGAGCTTTGCTGCAGCATCATTCTTAAAAAGTAGGTTTTTCCAGAAAACAATACTTTAAAAAAAAACAACTGTGACCAGGTTTTGCCTATATCTTCAAAATGATATATGACACATTTCTTTTTTTTTTTTTTTTAAGGACCTGATATCTTTGACAATGCAGTTTTTTTCCATAACAAAATGTTATATCCAATATCTTAACTTTGTAAAAAAAATTACCATAGGTTCTCATTTTGAATAAAGACATATGGAATTAATCTATTAGTTCTGGAGTGTTTGTAGCATATTGTATCTGGCACTTAGAAGAAAATTAGTTTTTTAACTACAATGTGCTACTTTTCCTTATTTATATTCAGTAAACTGCTGCTCTCACTTTTAAATAACTGCTTAACTGTACCAGAAAATAAATTACAATAAAACAAAATAAAATCTTACCTTTCTTATCTTCTTCATTCCCTGATGACAGTTTAAGTTTATCAAGTGCTTGTTTTAGGGAGGCAGATATTTTTAATTCCAAATTTGTCATTGGTTCATCTGGGCTGAAGAATTTTGAAACCTTATTACCATTATTAATATACCAAAATATTTATTTGTACTCCAAATTAATAACTTTAAAAGCTTTTTGAGAAACCAAATGCTTTGTGAATCAAATGATTCCCATTAAAAGTTTAAAGTATTTTACAAATAACTGTTACAATGTATCCACATTCTGTCTGAACAGAAAAGCTCTTTATATTAGAAGAGTAAGTCTCAATCACACTGTTGCCAGCATATTTATTACTCAGTTGCACTAACAAGAAGGGAATAAAGACTAAGAATCCAAGTTTTTCAAGATGAGTAATGCTGAGGAAAGGTACATAAAGTAGTTTTACATCCCATGCCCAAGCTAAATGCTGAGCATATAATAAACAGGAAATATAAGTAAGTTCTAAGTAAATCCGTACTCACTTCTACCAGTGGAAATAATTCATGTGGACAATGGCATATGCATCTATAAATCAGCTATAATCGTATTGCAAGGCAATTTCAGTAGGGTTAAAAAAATATCTTCTAATATTTCATAATGGCTAAGTATTGTATACACAATTTAAGTCCATTCAATAAATATTAAGCATATGAATAAACAAAGCAATAAAAATAGAAATTGTAGGCTATTCATCCTATATCCATAATGAAAAAACTGACAAGAGGCATTTTTAAAAAAGTACACAGGCAAGGCATGGTCCCTTATACCCACAATCCCAATATTTTGGGAGGCTGAGGTCAGAGGACTCCTTGAAGCCTGGGCAACATAGTAGAACCCTATCTGCACAAAACATAAAAAGTCACTGATATGGTTTCCCTGTGTTCCACCCCAATTCTCATCCTAAATTCTTGCTCCCATAATCACCACATGTTGTGGGGAGGGACCTGGTGGGAGGTAACTGAATCGTGGGGGTAGCTTTTTCCCACACTTTCTCACGATGGTCCATAAGTCTCAGAAAATCTGATGGTTTTTTCTGGCCTGCCACCCTGTAAGATACTCCTTTGTTCCTCCTTTGCCATCTGCCATGATTCTGAGGCCTCCCCAGCCACATGGAACTAAGAATCCATTAAACCTCTTTGTCTTTATCAATTATTCAGTCTCAGGTGTTTCTTCAAAGCAGTGTGAAAATGGACTAACACAGTCATAGTGGCATACACCAACAGTCCGGGAGGCTTAGGCAGAAGGCTGGTTTGAGCCCGAGTTCAAGACTGCAGTGAGCTATAGCCACTTTATTAAAGCTTGGGTAAGAAAGAGACTTTGTCTCTTAAAAAAAAAAAAAGTATGTAAAAACCTATATCCTCATAATTTTATAATACCACAGAATGAATTTAGGATAAAATATTTAATTTTTCTATTAAGAGTGAATCTCAAGATCCTTCTGCCTCAGCCAGAGTAGCTGCAACTACATAAGCACACCACCAAACCCAGCTAATTTTTCTTTTTTTTTTTTTTTTTTGGAGAAAGGATCTCGTTCAGGTTGTTCTTAAACTCCTGGGCTCAAGGGATCCTCCCTCCTCAGCTTCCCAAAGTGCTGGATTATGGGCTTGAGCCATAGTGCCTGGCCTCTCAATGCCCTTTAAGTAAAATAATAGCTCATTAAAGAAAAAATTAACTCATAGTATTATAGTACAGACTCTATTATATTACTAAATAGATTAAGAATGAGTCATGACAGTTTTGTCTTTTCCCAATTATTTTTCTGCTAAATTGGCCAACATGGCATTCACTAGTCTCTTCTGATTATGAATAAGATGGAGAGAGAATAAACTCATCCTGAGTAGTTTACTTAGCAATAATCCTCAGACTGCTAATGAACAAATTAATGTCTAAAGTCTCTTAGGGTTCTTGTCTTGGTTCTCTATTATTCAATACTCTACAAATTTAAATAGGATCAATAGACAGTAAGGGGAATAGCACGAGTTCATACCACGAATAAAAATTTCAATAGGTGCCTATTTGCAGCCCCAAAAAAATCACCTGTTTTTTTAAGTTCTGTAGTTTGATTCTAAAGCAACTGTGGCACAAGTGCAGCATGAAGAAGACCTTGTTCAACACAGGTACTCAATATACATGTGTGGGAATACAGAGTCTGGTTATCAGAAGGCAAGTATGAAGAATCTGTACAATTCAATTGTACAGTGAGCAAAAGTTGTTTTAAGACGACTTTCACAAATATGCCATCCAAATCAAATGCATTAAAAATTCGCCAGTGGTAATGAGATGAACAGCAATTTTCAGGCATCTGAAAGTAAAGATGCGTGATTAGGCCTCTGCATTCTTTTCCACTTCAAACTCACTCCATGACAAGGAAAATTGCTTCAAAGAATTTCACCATGCCACAGTGAAAAAGATGTACTCCATGGCACAAGAAAAATGTGTGACTCCCCCACCCTGATGATACATGTCTCTAATTATGACAGTACAGTATGCGAATCTGCTATGAAGTTGTATTGCGCACATGCTCTCAAGTTGAAGAGAAATAAAAATTTAAGGCAGATTTAAGGGAGAAACCAAATGATTCAATGCTTGATGGCCTACATAGTAGCTACAAATGGTATCATGCTAAATCACAAAGTACCATGAACAAATACTATTATTCAAGTGTGACAAAAATAGGTAACTGTATAAAGTATACCTTGGCCTTTTTATAGCTTCTACTGGTTTAGGGGCTTGAATGATGTGTTCCCGAAATTTCGGTTTCAATTCAGATAGTTCCTTCTTCTCAGTAGTCTTGACTTCAGGTTTGACTGGCTCAGGTGGCTTCTCACTATTATGTCTACCTTTTGTACAGCCCTGTTAGTGAAAGATATTAAGAGCTATCTATTTTACACATCATGACAGAAACACTATCTTTTCAGTTATTTATTGATAAATTCTACTTCACATTTTCTCCAGTTTCATTATACTGATTTTAAGAAATTAAAAACAGAATACCAAATGTGCTATATGAATGAAGGCTTTTTAAAAAGCCTTTGAATTACACTTCATAAACACCTACTTATTCTATTAAACATATAGCATAAACTTCTTGTTTTACATTCGAATAATTCTGGAGAACCTCACAAAGAACCGTAAAAACTACTTATACAGAAATATCTGTTACTCAAAAAGTCCTCAATGTGAGACTCAGTTCTCAACCTAGTTATTAGTTATATGACCTTAAGCAAGATAATCTTTTTAAACCTCCATTTTCTCATTTGTAAAATGGAGGCAATGTCACATAAGATATTTTCTGAGGGGGTTAAATAATAAAATGCCTAGCACATTTGGCAGGTGATAACCTTCAACAAATGTTAGCTACTTTTCTACTACGTTCTATTGAATTATATATACTTTTAACAGCTCTGAAATGATACAATAGCTTATCAGTTTGTTAGCAGCTTTTTTCTTTCTTAGTGGTATACAAAATGATGTATTTCAATAGCATCTCATATTAGGTAAAACTTTATCATTCCTAACTAAAAAGGCTTTAACTTGTTGCATATCACTTTTTCCTTCTTGATGTTCTTTTAATATAACAGAAAGAACAAATCTAAAAACACAAGCGAGTAACTAATACCTTAAAAAGTTAACTTCCAAAACAGATTTTTTATTTCAGAAGCTGTGGAAGGGAGATGAGCTGCTTTTTAAAATGTGTTATCTGCAAGCTGATGAAGACCAATCAATCAATATCAGAAATCAGACACCTCAAATCTGAAGCTTTCTGTAATGTGTATTTTTAGGGAAATAATCTAGAAAAAAAAATTAGTACTTACAACAATACTTAAGAAATCAGAAAAATCAGTTGTTCTTCTCTTACAGCACGACCAACCCTACGAAAAATATGAGAAAGACACTAAAAACTCTATTTACATGGGAACCATGACCCAATAAAACATTCTACTTGCACTTATCTACTTGTACCCTGCAGTAACTTGCATGTAAACAGAGTGCAAAATTTTAGTGTTGTATATAATTCGTTTAATCAAGTGAAATGAACTTTAGTCTTTGATTTTTAAAAAACCAATTAACTAATGTTTTTTTTTTTTTTTTGAGACGGAGTTTCACTCATGTTACCCAGGCTGGAGTGCAATGGCGCGATCTCGGCTCACCGCAACCTCCGCCTCCTGGGTTCAGGCAATTCTCCTGCCTCAGCCTCCTGAGTAGCTGGGACTACAGGCACGCACCACCATGCCCAGCTAATTTTTTGTATTTTTAGTAGAGACGGGGTTTCACCATGTTGACTAGAATGGTCTCGATCTCTTGACCTCGTGATCCACCCGCCTCGGCCTCCCAAAGTGCTGGGATTACAGGCTTGAGCCACCGCGCCCGGCCAATTAACTAATGTTTAAGTGATTTGTGCTGTGGCCTATCATCAAAGGAAGCACGTTTATAAAATAAAAACTGCTTCTGTTTTCAACAATCATGTCTGGCTTTTTAGAAGAAAAACATTGTATAATTCCTAAAATTATAACATATTTAAGGAATATTCAAAATAAGCATAGGTATTTTACTTTTGAATCTGTTAAAGATAATAACTATAATTTAGTTTTTAAACAAAATCCATTTTAGTTTCACAATAAGCATTCTATTTTCAGAACAACACAGATTAACACAGTAACCAAAGCACTATTAAGTCTCTGACGGTGAAATGATCTTTTCAGTGAGGAGCATAAAGGCACAGAAACTGTATTACTATTTGTAATTTCTGAACAAACTATCAAGTGGCTTACCAAAAAATGGCTTTAATAATTATCATCTCTTAATTCCAATGTATTACAGAGAAAAGAGAAACAAAAACACAAAATCTCAAAACTTGGAACTTCAGATTAAGATTTGGGCCTTAATTCAGATTAAGAAGCAACTTTGCACATATCCACCTGGACGTCTCTGATTTTCCAATAGACTGCATAAAAATTTGGCAGTATTTTTTTTCCACAATATGCACTTGTAGGTTCCTTTTCTTTAAAGGAAATTTCAAATATCCCGTAATTCAAATTTTCCTTTATTTTCAATTTTAGTTCTCTTTTACTGTGAATTGAGATGTAGATCAATTACTACCTTAAATACAGGGTTTAAATAGCATCGATAATACAGTCAATAGAAAATTTATTCTATAGAGAAAAAGTTCTACTGTCTTAATCGTGTGCTGAATTACGTCAGATACTATGATACATACATGTAAAACATGACATAGGTAGGCCGGCTGTTCCCAAATGCCAATCTGGATTCTATGCTAGTCCTCAGTACAATGAGAAAAGGAAAGATAAATTTAAGTTATGTGATATAAGGTTGCTAGCTGTCTTTTTTCAGCAAAACTGCCCTTTTCTATGAATATGGCCCTTCTAATATTAACATAGTCTTTCTTTTGTCAATGCAATGTTTAACTTCTTACTTGGTCAAATAGAACCTAGTATCCCTATATTGATGTATATATACATTTTATCTGAAATCTTCTGGGCTGTGAAATCCAATAATCTTGGAAAGTCTAGGACTTTCAGATATGGTTATAAAATAGAGACAATAATAAACACTGCAACTGCAGAAGAGAAGCAGAAATACTTCAAAGTGAAATTAAGACTTGAAATGATTAACAGTGTGGGTGAGGGAAAAAAAGAGCAAGGGCACCACAGCACCACAGTTTCCACCACCACAAAGATTTGTAAAACTAAAAATATGTAACGAGGAGTAAGGTCTCAACTTGCCCTACTGAATGCCTGCTCTGTTTTCCTCACTCAGAACTAACCAGACTAATACATCTTTGGTTAGGTCTGGTGGTATAACAGTGAAGCCAAAAGAGTCTAACTACTCACTGGAAGGTATAACTATTCACCTGAAGGGCACCAACAATATTTAAACATGTTAATACTACTTATGTTCCTGAGAACCAAGGTCATAGTACCTAAAAGCATGGCAGCTCCACTATAGCATTTTCTTTTGAGATATACAAAGGAAACTCTTTATCATATTATCATGAATTTTAAAAAGATGACCAGCAAAAATCTAGTCAAGCAACATTTGACTAACTCTCCAGAACATCAAAGTAGTATAGCTGGAAAATAGGTAACACTTCTTCTAAGGAAAAATACACTCTTAACTTACGTGTTTGTCCTGAGACTGGCATTAAGTATTTCTAATAGAACGATCTTTTCCAAAGTTCAGAGCTGTTATTAGCAGTGACAGACTGAGATTCAATACAACCACTCTATTTTTCCAAAATATTACAAAAGTGAAGAAAGGGGTGTTGAAAACGAGAATTAAGGCCAGGCATGGTGGCTCACACCTGTAATACCAGCACTTTGGGAGGCTGAGGCAGGTGGATCATCTGAGGTCAGGAGTTCAAGACGAGCCTGGCCAACATGATGAAACCCCATCTCTACTGAAAATAGAAAAATTAGCTGGACGTGGTGGTGGACTCCTGTAATCCCAGCTCCTCGGGAGGCTGAGGCAGAATCGCTTGAACCTGGGAGGCGGAGGTCACAGGGAGCCAAGACTGCACCACTGCACTCCAACTCAGGTGACGTAGTGAGACTCCATCTCAAAAAAAAAAAAAAAAAATTAAAATATAAATAATACAATTTTATTACTGGAAAAGGCCTTCAGATCACCATCTACTGTCTTCTTTGCCTTTAGTGAAGTATACGCTTAAAGCACCTCCCCAAAGGTCATTAAGAACAAAGTCACTAGCTGAGAAAAAAGATTTGGTATTACATCTCTCAATTTACCACACAGATAGGAAGGAAATGAAAATACAGTTCCTACCTTTAAGGCATCATGAAAGACTGGAACACCTGGGTGGTATGTGCAAGCCTCTGGAGAAACAGAGAAGAAAAAAAGTACCACTCATTATAATGAAGAAAAATGTATACGTGATTATCTCCTTAAGGTGTTCACCTTTAATCCTTTTCCAAACACAGGTATGTTAAAAAGGTACAAATTACTGAGTTTGATGTGCAGCACGAAGTGCAATGTATTAAAAATTCTAATTCAAGAGTATGATGGCTATGGATAAAAATAAAAAATTATTTAACAATTATATTTTATATTCCTCTAATCTTGGTAGTAAAATTTGTTTAGTAACAAAACTTCAAACCCCCAAATTTTGACCTTCATTTTTCAAATCTGCTTTTACAGGTGTACTATCAAACTCTAAGTATTCTTGCATGCATTAATACATAAAGGTTTCACAAGAGGTTCTCTAAAAGATATTTCGTAAGAACAGGCTCATCCTTTTAAATATTGTAAACTTTTTTCAGAGTATCTAATTGCTAATTTAACTTTCCTAGACAGCAGTCAATTCCTAGGTACAAACCTCACTAAAGAGACGTCTAGGCTGGCGCCGGGTGGCTCATGCTTGTAACCCCAGCACTTTGGGAGGCTGAGGTGGGCAGATCACCTGAAGTCAGGAGATAGAGATCAGCCTGGCCTACAAGGTGAAACCCCATCTCTCCTAAACATACAAAAATTAGTGAGGTGTGGTAGTGAATGCCTGTAGTCCCAGTTATTTGGGAGGCTGAGGCAGGAGAATCGCTTGAACCTGGGAGGCCGAGGTTGCAGTGAGCTGAGATCACGCCACTGCACTCCAGCCTGGGCAACACAGCAAGCGGCTGTCCCCACACTCCAAAAAAGGATTAAAGTTCTACAGTCTATTTTCAGGATTCTCACTGGGTGTTTTTCTATACTTCCCATTACACAATCAATCTTAATTCTTTTACATAAATGGGTTTATTATAACTTGGAAGATGGAGTATTATATTTTTAAAAATCAGGTAACAGCTTCACACCTCTGCAATCTGCTTATAAAACATCTTTCAACCTTTCAAGTCTGTTGAGCTTTCAATGCTCTACAACAACCCTGTCCAACATGCCACCCAGAATGACTCTGCATGTAGCCCAACACAAATTCGTAAACTTCCTTAAAACATCATAAAAAATACATTTTTTTAAGCTCATTAGCTATCACTAGTGTTAGTATACTTCACGTGTGGCCCAGGGAAGCCAAGATTGGACACCCCTGCTCTACCACCTGATTCCTGGTGTTGCCTCAAAATAATTAATTCCTGGTGCTCACAGGTATCTCCCTACCCCGTATTACTAGCCAGGATTGCTTCCTTGGTAACCATGTGCTGCGTGGATACTAACTAACGTAGAAACAAAGTGTTAGGTAACTTCCTGATACAGTAAGTAAACCCATGGATCAGAAAGATGTTATTAATAAAGGTAGTTGTGGAATTAAGGGCTGAAAAAGGAGACTGGAAGTAGAAATGGATATGCAGAAGGCCATGAAGTTGAGAGGGGAATGGAAATAGAGAATAGATACAGTATTTTCAAATACCAAATTTAAGGTAGTCAGAGACATAAAATGTACAATGTTTAACACAGTCAGAGGCATAAAATGTCACAATACCAGTCAATTTTGGCAGCATGGGAGCAGGAATGAGTCAGATCCAAACCATACAACTAGTATGAACACAATTAGAAAACCAGTGCTTTCAAAAACAAGAATAAGCAGCTGGACATTCTTTATCCTTTACAGTTTTAAGAGTTTTAGTAAAATTATTATTTTATGGGTAACAAGCTACAACACAGTAGTAGTTATTAACTATCCAGAGCTTCTAACATTGAGTCTGACCCTGGCTAAATTTCTCACTGCCGCTTGCTACTAGTTCCTTCAGTTTTCTTCATATATGTGGATTAAATAAAATACTGTTTGTGAAGCTTTGTTTATTCTAGAATAAGTGTTTACATATGCAAGTTGCCAACTGTGTCTCCCTCAAACACCCTTTAACTTGTGTTACAAGTTAAAACGTTCTATCAGCTTAAAAGGGAGTCTAATTTCTGTCTAAAAGGGGAAAAAAATCATGAGACTCTAAGTCAACAAGCATGGTAATTATGCCATAGCACCAAGAAAAAAAGCATTTAGTGTAGATTTCAAAAGATATTTAAGGATGGCAGAGCCAGCATCTGGCTTCATGCAAAATGGAACTTGCTTGTGTATTTACTTCTTTAACTTATTTCTGTCAACTGTACAACGTCAAACCTCTTCCTGTAAAACCAACCAACCTTATAATTTAGTTGTGTCCTACTCGGTATCTCCATTTTCTTCTCCTTACATTCACTTAACCAACTTGCTTGAAAAATGTATTCTAAGTCTCTAAAAAACCCCTCATTTCGCTTAAGTAAATATACTTTTAGGGATCTTATTGAAGTTTCAGCGATCTTACTGGAATTCCTCTGCTGTAACGGGTACTGCTGACCACCCAATTCTTGAGACTGTTTATTTGTTTTTCCGGGTCATTTTCTCTTTCCTAGGCACTGCACCAAATCACACATGGATACAGACTTCCAACAAATGGCTATCTCCCCTGAATTTTATTGTCCCATACAGCAAAACATCAGCCTTTCCCCTATATTCGATATTAAAGTAGAATTTTTGCAGACAGAAATGATCAATTATTTTTTACGTAGGCTACCAAAATCAAAGGGCTTTCAAATCATTATCAAGTTTGCCATCTACTGAAATCTCACAATTTTCCTCGAGTAGCATCATATCTGCATCATAAAAATGTCAGTGTCCATAACTTGAGTATTGCATTAGGTTGGATTTACCTTTTCCTTAAAACGCTGTATCAATGGTTTTATTTTTAATAACGCCATCAATTAACCTGTGGGCCAAACCTAAGTATTTCAAACATCTCAGAGGTGAAGAGTTTAGAAGGCATCAGTTTTCATCTCCCCCACAATGATGAACGATGTTATTAATACTACCTCACTGAACTGAGCTTCTCAATCAAATAGATCTAATTAATACCGCATGCTTCCCACGGTTGTTATGAAGATTAAATATGATAAAGCGATAACGTCTAGCATGCAGAAGACATAAACTAAATGCTAGTTCAATCTGAAAACGTGCTGTCACGTCTCACAATACGCAAGGAATCATCTCACTTCTTCGTCAATCAAAATCTCAATTCATTGATCATTTCCCGTCCTTCACCTAGTAGTCACTTTCGCTTTGGTTCCTTAACTCGATATTTAGATGCTGTAGAGGACATTCGATCATTTTATACCGGAGTCAGCAATGATATTAAAACGTGCAGACCACCACAAGAATACCCGACAAAGGCCGCCAGTGAGACAAAGCTAACTAACGTATCACCAGGATGCACCTATCAAAAAGTGTAACGATACAGAGTAATGTCCCTTACCTAGAACACTTGCAAGAGGTTTGTAACAGCGGATCGACTGAACGCAAACTTCTACGAGGCAGGGCTTACACCCTAGGACAAGTCCCGACCCCCCCCCCCCCCCCAGGCAATCACAGCCAACACTACTTGCGGAACTGCAAAGCAAGCTCACCAGTACCTCGTTAACGTCTGCTTCCCAACAGACTAGGGGGCCCGAGGAGAAAGGTGTTTGTTCTAAATTCCAGGCGACTTAAAACGAGCGCGGAGACGACCGGGGAAGCACGTGGATCCAGGGGAGCGTCCCTCTCCGCAGAGGCAGAGGGCAGTCGGGCGCCGGGGCCCGGCCGCAGCCAAGGGAGCGCGGCGCACCAGGCGGGGGGCCGGCGGGCTGTGCGCGCAGCCCAGGGAGGCCCAGGAGGGGCCTGGACCCGGCGCCGCGCGAGGACGGAGGCAGGAGGTCCCCGGACACCCTGCGGCCCAATGGGCCTCCCCCGCCGAGGAGGTGGAGAGGGGAGGGAGGGCTGGCGGCGCGCCCCTCTTACCATCAGAATTGGTTTCAGGATCAAAGCGCTGACCGCAGCCCCGGTTGTAGCACAGCAAGGACATTTTCCGTTCCCTCCGTCACACGCAAGGCCCAAACACCGGGAACGGCAAGAGGATGCCTTGGCCACTCCCGTGTCGCTAGCACCTGTCTGACGACCGCCGCGACTGCCGGCTTCCGGAAACGATCAGTGGCGTTTCAGGAACCTTCGCGAATTTTCCGGTCGCGCAGGCGCAGCGGAGAAGGAAAGCGGCGGAGGAAGCGGTAGGAGGCCGGCGCTAGCCCCGGCCACGATAGGTCCGCCTGCTGCAGCTGGTCGCAGCTGGGGGTCGGAGGTGGAGCCCAGACAATAGCGGAAGGGAAATGTACTGGGCAGAAACCGAAGGCGTCCAAAAGACTGACAGCTGCTTCCTGACTTCCCCAGTCCTCACTGGCAATGGGCGTCTCCTCTCATCCCCTGCAACGCGGCATCCTTATTCCTTGCCTTGAGGCTGCGCCTTAGACAGCCCGGTGGGTATCTTCTGACCCCTTAGCTGTGCACAATAAGTGTGCAATCGTACGGTGTTTCCAAATCCTCAGGATAGGGGTATGAGCTTAGTAAATGAGGAGAGGAACAGTGGACGAACCTCTCCGCGTGTCTGTGTCTCTAGTGCCCTCCTCTCGGGAGCAATTTTAATAACTGAACAGTTGCGTTCACATTACTTTGAAAATACAAAACACGTAAAAATCTGAAGAACAAAATTATGGATCTGATACTGTGCCAGAAGTGATCACAATTGCTCTAAGGCCCTGGGGTAATCGTTAATATTTCATGTGCGCTCCCACTTAAACGATTTCTCAATACTCAGTACTCCGCTCTTGGAACAGCTAGTAAAACTTCAAGTGCATTATAAAAATTACAGTAATGCATTGGCTCCAACTTACATATTTCCCAAATGTGGGGCGTTTGAAAAAAAAGCAAACACTTTTTGATAACATACACTGAAGGATCTTAAAATAAGCAGCTTGTAAGTAAACCTAAAAATCTATACACAGTTTCCATTGGTCTCAAGGTTATTTAGAGATCTGGCTCACATCCTCCTACCCCTGAAAAAAAGACTTTTCAGTTTTTCATATTACGTTCTCCTCTTCTACCTAGAATTATTAAATTATTATATTGTAATCCTAACATAGATATATGTTTTCTTCTTCATTTAACTTAACATGAATATTTTTCTATTTTGTTTCGTAATCATTATTACAAATGACAGAGTATTCTCTTGAATGCATCCACTGTAATGTAACCTTTCTCGAATTTCCCCAACTTTATTATATGTAAATTACAACCATCAACTTGTATATTATTTTCCTTATTTCAAATTTCCCCCTTTAGAAAAATTTGAGGAAAGCAACAGTTCTGTGGTAAAGGGCATCAGCCTTTTTTTAACTTTAAGATTTTAGAGCTATATAGAGCCAATTGCTTTCCAAAAGGTGGCACCAATTTACAATTTGGTAATTAAGTAATAGACCATAAAAAGTTTTCACACACAATTGGAAATGAAGAAGTGGAGAGCTCTAAAAAGTTTTAGTTGTGACCAAATCTGTTGTGTTGAGCATCCTAGTATCTATGTAACATTACCAGGATTGTTAGTGAACTAAATCTTTTAAATAATTTTAATGTTTGTTTCTAGTTTTTCATCTGTACCATTTACAATCAGAATATGGTAGATAATTTGGAAAATGCAAAAGTGTATTAATAACAAAGTCAACAATAATTCTACCACCCAGGAATAAGCACTGAATGGCTAAAATAGCTCTTTGGTAAATTTATTTTCAGTATTTCCTGTCACCCAGAGCATATGTTTATATTTGTTAAAAAACAGAGTCACGTTATATATAGGAATTTATGTTCCTCCCTTGGGTATTTTGAGAAACTGTGAAAATAAATCATTCTTATGAATCAGAAAAACAGTGATGCACAAAGAGCCTGTTTCAATCCCAACTCCACTTGCATTTCCATTCCAGCACTTCGGTGCTACCACCCACTGTTTGAAAAACTGTCTGGCATTTACATGTATATTTTATATAGACCCTGAATGTATCTTCCCTTCCTTCTTTACCCCCATACATATCAAAATATGCTTTAACTTTGACTGTCTTATTTGTTGTTAACAAAAGACTTAAGTATGTTTTTTTTTTGTTGTTGTTGTTTTTTTTTTTTTTTTTTTTTTTTTTGAGACAGAGTTTCACTCTTGTTACCCAGGCTGGAGTGCAATGGCGCGATCTCGGCTCACCGCAACCTCCGCCTCCC